GGCCACTCGGGATGCCGAGCCCGCCGCGGGGCAGGCGGCGCTAGCTTTGGCCTGGCCAGCTGCCCCAGTGGCTGCTTCCCCGGGGTACGCCCCCCACGGGCTCCCTCGCAGGGCATGCGGCCACTCGGGGTGCGGCCGTCGCGGGGGCCGCTGGGTGGGGGGTCGCAGGGGCCGTCGGGTAGGGCGGGGTCGTGGGGGCCATCGCGGCGGGCGCCGCGGGGCAGACGGGCGTGGGGTGGACGGTCGTGCGGGGTCGTGGCGCAGGAGTCGCCATGGCCACACGCCGGGGTGCAGGGCGGCAGCGGGAGGGCCTCGTTGTTGCCGTGGCTGGCTCCCGCGTCCGCGGACCCGGGGCTGGGTGGCCTGGCCGTGGCGGGTACCTCGATGGCGATGTGTCTGTGGTTGGTGGCGCCGGTCGGGTTGCCGAACCGCTTTTCGATGACTGGCTGGTTCGGTCCGCGGTCGATGCGGGTGAGCAGTTGCCCCAAGTCTTTGAAGGAGGATCTGTGAGCACGATGTGTTCGCACTGAGAATCCAACCCTACTGGGTGCCTTCGCTTCGTCCACTTCGTAGTGCTTAGCCGCTGTGCAGGGGGGGGAAACAATGAGAAGCATGTGAGAAAGCCGCCGCCAGCGGCCTCTGAAACGTATATTGCAGGATATGTCTCGATCGCGGGCGCCCGATGTCCACCTGAGGCTTGGTGGCCGCGCTTGGCAGCAGCACACGCCCGAATTGCTCGGGCGGGCCGCCGCCGCCGCCGTCCTCCTCCTCCTCCTCCTCCTCCTCCTCCTCCTCCTCCTCCTCCCCAGCCCCCTCGCGTCGCGCAGTGTCAAGTCAGATGTTTTTTTTTGGGCCCTGCTCCTCCTGGAGCACTCCCCCCCGCCCCGTTTTAGTTTTCGGAGGTGTTTGGACGTTTCGTGCTCCTTCCTCCTCGTCGCCCCCTTCCCCCTGCTCCCCCTTCCCCCTGCTCCCCCTCGTCCTCTCTCCACCCCTCTACTCTTGCTGCTGCCGTATGCTGTGCCGTTCTGTGACCCGAAGCCTTCGTCCCTCTCCTCCTCCTCCTCCTCCTCCTCCGCCTCCTCCTCCTCCTCCTCCTCCTCCTCCTCCTCCTTCCTCCTCCTCTCCCCTCCCCCTCCTCATCCTCCTCCCTCCGCCTCCTCCTCCTCCCCCCTCCGCCCTCCTCCTGCTCCCCTCCCTCCTCCTCCTCCTGCCCCTCCTCCTCCTCCTCCTCCTCCTCCTCCTCCTCCTCCTCCTCCTCCTCCTCCTCCCTCCTCACCCCCCTCGGCGTCGTAACCAGACCAGAGGCCATCGGAGCCTGGGGCATCGGGTGGGGTCGGGCCGAGCAGCCCTTTGCCTTCCCCCCTCATCGAGGATCGTCCGCTCTCCCAGGGCTTGTGGCCCTCCCCGGGCAGGGTGTGGCCCCCGAGGCAGCGGCCTCCGATCCCCCACGGGTAGCTCTGTCGGGTTGGCCCCCAAAGGGGGTCCAGCGACAAGGGGGTGGTGCAATATAGCTTTGATGCAATAGATTTGCGGGGTTGCAATACGTTTGGGGCGTGAAGTATTGCTGGATTTTCGCGTGCAATGCATTAGTTGCAATACACTGCAATACACTTCTTCTGCGCCATGCATTTGCAATACAATTGCCCCAAATCTATTGCACCACCCCCTTGCAGCTGGACCCCCTTTTGGGTCATCCAAATTCTAGTAGTCGCAAGAGCTGCTTGAGGTTCGTCGTTCTTGCTTTCTTTCTGATGGGTGCGCGCCCCCTCCCCTCGCTCCCGCACCCTCCAGGAGGGAAAAGTAGCCACAAGCACACACAGTCGCTGCCTTTCGTGCAGACGTGGGGGGACTACGGGGAGTGGAGGGCGAGAGGACACTCCCGGACGCGTGGTGGAACGCATGGGGAGTCCCGCCATCTTCGTCGACCTGTTTGCATCTCTCCCTGGGCCCCTCTCTCTAGCCCTCTCTCTCTCTCTCTCTCTCCCCTCTAGCCCTCTCTCTCTCCCCTCTAGCCCTCTCTCTCTCTCCCCCCCCCTCCGCCCCTCCCCGTCTCACCGCCCTTCGGGCGGCCGCGCGGCGCTTTTCCCCGCGCGAGCAACCCGTGCCGCGCGACGCCCCGCCGCGCCTCACACCGCTGGCGGGGCCCCGCGGCACGCGGCGCGCGCCGCCCCGCCGCCCTCCTGGGCAGACCCCTTTTGAAGCGCGGTGGAAAAAGGAGATCGCTCCGTCGGCGAGGCGAGGCTCGAGATGGTAGGAAGGCACCAACTATACACCAACACCGATCCTGGCCAGGATCGGTGTTGGTGTATAGTTGGTGCCCTCCGAGATGGGGAAGGTTCGGGGCTCGAGGTCTGAGGTTTTCGGGCGTCTTCGTCGGCCCCCGGCAGTTGTCCAGCCCCGGGATGCTTGCCAGCAGCTGCGCCTCGCCGAGGGCGTTCCGGGGGTGCCCGGATCGTCCCGAACGGCCGCCGGAGACCCGAGCCATGACCCCAAAGCCACACTCGACGGCGAGCCCAGGGGGGGCAAGTGAGAAGGGGCGGGCCTCCTCAGAAGAAGGCTGGGAAGTCCCCCCCGGCCTTCTGAGAAGTCTTCTGAGCTTCCCCCGAAGGCATTGCGAATAACTGCACAGAAGGCTGGAGGGCTTCTGAGAAGTCCCGCCGCCTGCTGAGAAGGCCGTCTCCTTCTCATTGCCCCCCTTTGCTCGCCGCCGTCTGGGATAGGGGGGGGCATAGTGCAGGATGGCGATGAAGAAATTGCCTGGGGGCGTCGTGTTCACGCGGCGGCGCCCAGGATGATGATCCGAAAATCTGCCCGCCCCGCTGGGAAACTATATTTTCATCGTTCCCTCTCGCCCTCCTCGGGCGTGCGCTTGGACAGTCGACGGGTCAGACGGAGCCAAAGCGAAGCGGAAGCCGAAGATTCGGAAACTATTTTGTTAATCGTTCCCCCCGCAGTTTTTGTATTAATCGTCATCGCACGTTCGGAGGGGATGCATCGATCTCGAATGGTTGATACATCGGCGGTGCATCGACGATGCATCGCTGACAGCAGGCGACGTAACGACGATGCATCGACGATGCATCGTTGATATCGGTGCGGTGGGGAGGAGGCAGTTTTTTACCCCCCTGGCGATATTCAAAGAACATGAAGCGGCATAAGCAGACACTTTCGACGGTCCGCACGGCTGTCTCCGATCGGCGCTACCCCCCCTCTCCTGGCGGCGCGCGCTCCCTCCCCGCGCCAGGGAGGGGGGCCCAGCGCCGATCCAAGAAATCCGCGTGGACTTTCGAACGGTCATGCTTTTTTATGTTTGTAACATGTCTTGACGTTTGTTCGTTTGTTGTTGTTCTTCTTCTTCTTCTCATCCTTCTTCTTCTTCTTCTATTGAAGTGCGGCGGGAAGGAGACCTCTGATTGCCGCTCCTCCTGCGCGGCAAGCATTCTGCCCCTGCTGAGCTGAGGTGTCGTGCGACAGGACATGCGAACGAACGAGCGATGGCGATCCAGACCCCCTCGGGTCATGAACAAGTCATGATCGCAACTTTCGTGCGCAGCGTCACACGGGCATGCTTCCAAGTCTTGCATCGTGCTTCAAAGTCGGCAATTGCCATGCCGAACCGGCGACTCAGTTCTGGACCGATCCGTCCATTTGCATTCAGCAAGCCACCTAAGTAAACCATGCTCTCCTTGTCTGGGATGCGCTACCCGTCTGGCTTGGCGAGGGCTGTTTCGCAGCGAACCGGCATGGCTTGGAGTTTGCCTCAGTTGAAGGCGAGACCGTAGTTTGATCCAGCTCGTTGAGTCTCGTGCATGAGTTCGTCCGCGAACTCATCTCGCACTCCAACCACAAACGTATCATCTGCATACATAAGTTCATTGTCAGGAGCCCTCTTGGACAAATCCGTGCGCTTGAAACGCCAGGGTACCGTCGTGCATCAGAACCGTCATGACGATTGACAACAAAACGATGACAACGGACAGCCTTGGGACACGCCGAATGCTTGAGGTCGCGACACAGATCCGATCGGCAGTAGAGAGATGGGTCTATATTTGGCGCAGTCGGCTGAGTCTCCTTTCTTGAACAAGGCGGTCACTACTGCCTGGTGCCAGGCATCAGGAGCATCCTTTTCAGTCCAGCATCTGCTGCACAGTTTCGTGGCCCACTCGCACGCTGCCGTGCCCGGCCTGCATGTCGCTTTCGAGAGCTCACCAGGCATGCCGTCGTCCCCGGAGGCTCTGGTCCGCCTCAGCTTTGGGCGTTGCGTAATGGGGGGGTCATAAATGGGGGGGTGGCGAGGGTGGTCCGAAAAGGTACCCAAACGGTACCTAAACGAGCCCCCTGGGGCTCCAGAGGGGCCCGAAAGGGGCACGAAAGGGGACCGTTTCTGACCCCCCCATTTGTGACCCCCCCATTAAGCAACGCCCAAGAGAGCTCACCAGGCATGCCGTCGTCCCCGGAGGCTCTGGTCCGCCTCGGCTTCCTCGCGGCTCCGCAGAGCTCCTGAGGCCGAAGAGAGCCACTCGCCGCCGGCACGCCTGGGCCACTTGCCAAGGGCTCCCTCGAGGGCGCGAAGTTATTCGCGCTTCGCGCTTCGCGCAGCGCGAAGCGCGAAGTTGGGAGCCCTAGACTTGCAGTTGGCGACGGGCCGTCGACAGCGCTCACTCTGTAAGAACGGTTTTTTTTGAAGGCAGAGCTGCCTTCAAAACATGTTTTTTTGAAGGCAGAGCTGCCTTCAAGGAGGAAAGGCTGGTCTACTCTGTAAGAACGGTGTTTTGAAGGCAGGTCTGCCTTCGAGAAAGAACGGTTTTTTGAAGGCAGAGCTGCCTTCAAAACATGTTTTTTTTTGAAGGCAGATCTGCCTTCAAGGTAGAAAAAGGCTGGTCTCCTCTGTAAGAACGGTGTTTTTTGAAGGCAGATCTGCCTTCAAGGAAGAACGGTCTTTTGAAGGCAGATCTGCCCTCAAGAAGCCGCTCTTACAAAGCTGCACAGCCCATCTGTACAGTACGGCAGTACTCCGCCAGTGTGCCCGCGCGTTGGTCGCTGTCCACGGGCGCGCCGGTCGCGGCCCTCGTGCGGCCCTGCTTTGCCTGGGATGCTTCCCTTAACTTTCGGACCTCTGCCCAGTCTCCAGGGGCGGGCAGATCATCGAGCCATTTGTTCCGGTCTGTCTTTGCAGACGCCTTGATCGTGCCAGGGGGCTGCTTCTCCCTGGTGTAGTCGCCGTTCTTCCGGGCGTCGCTCCGCGAGGTGATCAGTTCCAAAGTGGCGCTGCTGATCCAGGGGCGATGTCGGGCTGCTGGCAGCGTCGACAAGCATGCCTCTGCTGCGTGCTGGATTGCGCTCGCCACGTGCGCATTGAGTTCATCCAGCGTGCGCTGCTCGGCGTCCGTCTCCGCCATCCTGTCAGCAAGCTCCTCGCCGAGCTCTTCCTGATAGCGGTCCCGCTGCATCGCTTGCAAGTTTGGCTAGGGTATGTGTCGGAGCACCTTTTGGTGTGTCCACGTGAAGGCGACAGGGCAGCAAGAGGTGGTGCGACGCCAAAGGTACATCTCTCCGGCACATTCAAGCCAGCTGCGTCTCTTTCTGCAGAACAGGACAGAGCATTGATTTGCCCAGAATGCTCTGAAGGGGCTGGATCTGTAGGCCGAGACCCAACGTCATGACATGTTATCTGCATGTGTGCTGGGCGGTCGGAAAATGTATGGCTGAGCACCAACCCATGAGCGCCGCAAGTCTCCCAGAGCAAACTGCGATGTGAATTCGCGTCGGGCTGAGCAGTGGGGCGGCCGCAAACGTATGGCCCGACGTGCGAAGAATCGCAAGGAAATTGGTGTAACCTCGAATTGGAGTCCCCCCAACAGAATCGACCCACCATGACAGGAAGTGTCGCGCACTGTGGTGCTGCGCTCCTGGCAGAACTCTCGTCTTGCCTCCACGGGCTCGCCGTTGTGCTGCGAGTGCATACTAAACACTCAGGAGGGGAAAACACACACACAGACTAAATTAATCGTCGATTCCCAGGAAAATATGGGAAGTGGGGGGAAGACAGAAACCCTGAACATATGGGAAAACATGGGGAACATTTTTATTTGTGTGTATTTATTTGTGTGTCCTGGGGCCCCTTCAAACACGGGGACGTTGCCACCACAGACCAGCAATTGCACAACAGCAGCCCTCGGAGCGACTGACTATCCTGAAGGCAATTGCGCTCGCGCGCAGCTTCGGGGAAATCAGGAGTCCCACTCCGGCGGTCTCCTGCTCTTCCGCGTCTCCAGAACGCACCAGTGAGAAGCCCTGGCTCGTGATGTCGTATGTTGACTCCAATTTATGGGTTTCCTGTCCTGAAGCGCCAGAATTTCTATACCAATGTTTTCCGGCAGTGTCAAATATTTTACATCATGGCCGAAGACATAACAAGATCAATCCATCCTCGATCCTCATCGATCCCTCCTCGAGCCCCGATCACTCCTCGAGCCTCGGCCCTCCTTCGAGCTCTCCTCGACCCCTCCTCGATCCCTGCCCGATCCCTCGCTCCCTTTCCGATGCCTCGACCCCTCCTCGATCCCTCCTCGAGCCCTCCCCGACGAACCCTCCTCGAGCCCTCCTCGAG